TTTTTATGTTTTTTGGCACAAAGTGACTGCTCACAAACTTAACCCATATTTCAACACTCGTGATTAGCCCAAGAGCTTACCAATACATCAAACAAAGGACCCTCCATGATTTATTTATAGATAACTATGATGGAGTTGACCAGTTCCTGATATCTCAAGAATGGGAAACAAATGTTAGGATGGAAATCCTCCTAATCTATCTGGCATCTCTTCAAAGCAAATTACAATTTGCAAGTATTTGACTTTTATGGACCCACCTATTCAATACAGTTTCTTTTTCTTTTTGCACATGAAATATTGGCTTTGACCTCATAGCAGCGGAGACGGATCGGCTGCCCACGTGGCGCTCTCCACAGGGGCGCTGGTGGGGCGCGTTATATGAGCAGCCGATCCGATCACAGAAGGGGTTGCTATACGCTATACCCAGAAAGCAGGTCAGTGCGGAGACTGCCCTGCCATGGCCCATGGGTTTGAAATTGGACCTCCTCAAAAGGAGGGATACCAAGTCACCATGAAAAGTATTATTCAATAGAAAACCTAATTGCTCTGTCTTGACGGTATTTGGATGTGAATGTTTTCTCTTCACTAATGATAGGATATGAATTTAAATTAGATCCTTTTTTTTTGGACTAGGATATCCTTTGTAGTTGTGGCAATTGGGTGGATTGGGTTTAGGATAAGCTTAAACTCAACTCTTTCAATCCGCTGACCCATATGGAGTAAAATAAATGGGCCAGGTTGTTGAATCCAAGCCCGTTTTAACCCAACCAAATCCATCCAATCCATTAGTTTTTTAAATCATTAAAACACAGAAGAGATTCAGAAATTATGGAAAATAAATAAAATGAAAGAAAAATAAATGACAGGAAAATGTAACAAAAATATAAAAAATAAAAAATAATGAAAATTGTAGAAAGAATACGTGAATTATTTTGAATTATAGAAAATACAAAGAATGTAAAAAAACAACAGAAATTACAGAAAGGTATTAAAAAATATAGAAAATAATGAAATTGCAAAAAAATATAACAAAATTATGAAACACAAAAAATTAAGATAAATAACAGAAATTACAAGAAAAACATAAAAAAGAAAATATTACAGAAAAAATAACCGATATTGTGAAAAAACATATAAAAAATTATAGAAAAACATAAAGAAAATGAAAAAACAGCATAAATTGAGTGAATTAAAAACATATCAAAAACTATTGAATGGACATTTTTGAGATAATCGAATCTTTGGATCAGATCTAAGATTTGTACTATTGGATTTAGGGCTGCAAATAAGTCGGATCAGATCTGATCCGAATCTGGTACCAATCCATTAAGAGGCATATTCAGATATCTCTCTAGATCCTAACACATTGGATCGGATCGGAAAAACTGATCCATTAACTTAATGAATCAAATTCAAATATTGACTGATCCGATCCACTAATATATATATATATATATATATATTTTAAAATATATATATATGACTAGTATACCCATTAGTTTATATTTTCACTAGGTTTTATGTATTCGAAACTTTGTAGTTTTATTTTTTTCAATATTGTAATTTCGTTTATAAGCTAGAAAGCCCTAAAATCCCTAACCTAAACACTAACAAGACTGAGAATCATCTCTTCTTCAGTCTTCCCCTTCCTCTTCGGTTGTTCGGCGCCTATGGCTGAGCGTCTCTACTATTCCATCACCAGCGGCAACACACTACCCAGTGCCGGTATCAGGTCATACCAGCATGGGATACGCTATGACTGGAAGTGTATCCTTCTAGTCGTGCATATCAGTCCGATACGCCATCGTATTGGTGTGTATCGTGCAGTATTGGCCAATACAATCCGATATGCATCGATACAGAAGCATATCAAACCTCCATTTGACAACTTCAATATAAAAAATGCAACTAGCGTGACTTTGAAGACCACAACTTGCCTAGCGCGGTAGCACCCAAAAATAATCAAACTTTAACCACTGAGACAACATTTCTAATGTTGTTCAATCCTAGGTAGTGCAAGAACCGAGGTTGCAGTTAGATAGTCCTTGCCAACTCGGCGGAGCCGAGGTGGAAGGATGAAGTCGCGTAATGAGATTTGCAAACAAGAAAATGTCAGAGGCTCGAGGAGTTATCCCCGGGTAGATACTCTGACGCTCAAGTCAATAGAAGGCAGTAGGTAGTCGGGCCGAGCAGTTAGAGAACAGTGTTGGTTCGAACAGTATAACGATATGAGAACTAGAAGTTGGATCCTTTACCTCGAGTGTGGAGTACCTTTCTATGGATGAAGATCCATGTCCTGATCGGATTAGGCTTTCGAGGTTGTCGGTGATGAGGTTAACCACCGAGGTCTTTGGGATAAGACCTAATCCCTAGCAAAGTTGTCCCCATCTATTCTCCTATCTTGGTCAGGTTTATCCATTTGACATGGAGCTGTAATGGATAGAAAGGCAAAGTGGGGTCGTGGAGGTGATGCGGTGCTGACGTGGCCGAGGAGAAAAGGTGAGCTGCGGATGTCGATGTGGTGCTGACGTGGCCAAGAAGATTGGGCGACCACGTAGGCACCATGTGGCATCCGGAGCTAGCTCAA